AGATTATGTAATGCCGGCTTCCACGGCGATGTGGCATGCTTACTAAATTTGAGTTATCTTTGTGTTTCCGTGTCTGAAGGCTTTGAAGGTGGTAATACTTGGTGATTGGCTCCCTGAGCTCATTTTCACTTCTATTACAAGTCTATCGAGGTAAGGCAGCATCTTGATGAAAGGCCCTTCACAGACAATTGATCTCAGTAATGATGAAGAGGAGGGGATAGGTCAGACGTGCCGCTTCTTCCCTGGATTTTTCTCAGGTGCTTGCTGGAGTGTGAGCCAGTCATGGCTTTGCCCTTTGATGGGCTTGTTAGATGTACTGTCTGATGGGTTGTTCCTAGAAAGCTCCTGAAAACACTGCATGCATGGTGTGCCAATTATTGAAAAAAGCTTGTGTGTCTTGAACCCTTCTCCAAACCTCCAAACTCATTCATTTCTCCCTGAGCTCTTTTCCTTTTATGTAGCTACAAACCTGTGTTCCTAGCACCCACGATGACCTTGACCACGATGACCGCAGCCGCGGTAATCAACAAGACGGTTATTATTATTGTCAACTTTTTTACCGGGGTTTACCGCTACACCGGTTACCGTGACAACCTTAGTTACTACAAAAAAAAAGTAGCTCCAAGCTAAATTCCCTTAAAGTGAGGGTCAAGGCATGGGTGGAGACGTATTTCATCCACACTTCCTGTTAGGAAAACGAGGCGTGGCCTGGCGGACCGCGAGAGCAGCACTGAAGCAGTAATAGACCACACACCGCTCAACCCCCCCGCGTGTGCTGTCGGAGTTTCTCAGTCTAAAAACAAGTTGTTAACGGGCGCGTGCACACTCGTACGTGCACGCACTCACACAGACTTACCGCTCAGGAGAAGAGCAGACACAGACTGCAGCATTCTGGAGGATTTCCTGTTAACCTCCACTAGATGAAAAGGGGAGGAGGACATTTTTTCAAGGAGGCGAGCGGCTCAGAGCGCTGATGTGTCATGTCGGCAGGTGAGTGGCTGAGCCAGGTGGAGGTGCGGCTGCCTCACCTGGAGACCAGTGCGGTGCAGCCACGTGGTAATTTGCTGATAACGTCACGTTTTCCAGCTCAGCCATCAGCCACAGCTGGTTCTGCATGAATGTGGAGCCGAGTGTAACCTGAAGATGGAGACCGGGTTAGGGTTAGAGTCAGCTGCACTAAACTGCCACACTAATGATTACACACACGTGTACGGCACCATTAGACTCTCATCTGTACAGGTCATCAGCAAGGAAACGTTCATTTAGGCCTTACTTGCTCTTTAATGAGCCAGTTTTGCTTTTTCTTTTCAAGAATATTTATTTCAGACGCTTGTCCTACGGAGCTTAAATTAAGAGCTGACTGTTCCAAAAACACAAAAGAGAAGAAAAAACCTGCCCTCATGATTATTTTGGGTTGTTCTTACTTACTGCAAATTAAACTGGATTACTGACTAAATAGATGAAGTTGGAAGGTTTGGAGTTTCCTGTAAAATAGTGCTCAGGTCTCCGATGCTAACTGAATGGGTGTGCACCAGATCATCTTCGAAGCAACTGCTGCATGCTTCTTGACCTTCTCAGTGGCCTAGTGGTAGAGTGTCCACCCTGGGACTGGGACATCAGGGTTGAAATCTGGTTGGGTCATACCAAAGGCTTTAGAAATGGAACCCAATGCCACCCTGCTTTACACTCAGCTTACAGGGGTTGGATTGGGAGTTAAACCACCAAACTAGTTCTCGAGCGCAGCTACTGCTGCAGCTCACCGCCTATGGAGCTAAGATTGGGACAATATTAGAAGTAACTTGTAACAAGTTTTGTAACTGTAACTTTCATTTTGTAACACATAACCTTTGGTAAATAACATCAAGCTTTCACTTTGTAACTTGCAGAAAAAAAATATATGTACAAGTTTCAATCACAACTCTCAAAACAAACTTCTACAGTTAAAACTCAAGTCTGCATGTCCAAAACATTTTGTCCCGATTCTAGCTTCCCTCCAAAAAGAACCAAGGCTTTGTCTTATCAGGCAATCATGTGTCTCGGACATGAACTCCTGCTCTAATTCAAAATGTAGGTTCTTTATTTACATCAGTTTCATTTCTCTAAAAATGTATTATGTAAGCAAGGAATACACGACGCATGATAGGCTGATCAGGCAAAGCCTGTCATTGGTTCTTTGGGAAGGGAAGCTTGAATTTGGACAAAATCTTTTGTAACACGTAGATTTAAGTTTTGCGACTGTAGACTGAGATGTGTGTTTTGAGAGTTGTGATTCAAAACTTTCTGCAAGTTACAAAATGAAAGTTTCATGTCAAGTACTGAAATTTACACGTTACAAAACAAAAGTTACGTGCTGCAAAACAAAGTTTCATGTTGCTAAATGAGAATTACAAGCTACCACACGAACGTTACAGTTACAACACGTGTTGTAAGTTACAAACTTGGTACAAGTTACTTGTAATATTGTCCCAATCCTAGCTCCATAACCGCTCCCCACGGGGATGGGTCAAATGCAGAGATGAAATTTCACCAATGTGTGATGACCAGTGCAACTTTAACACTTTTTAAAATGGTCTTTTAATCCTCTTTTTTTGTTTATCAATGGAAATTGAAAAGGTTGTATTAATCTTGAATTTTTAGTACTTTTGCTAAACATTTGGCGTAATGCCAAAGCAAGACAAAAGACGAAGTGAAGCGTCCCCTCATTCTGCAGCGCTGCCATATGGATGTAGTTAGGATGCTAGTGAATGAGTGTGTGTGCTGAGTCTGGGAAGAGTCAAGATGACATATCTGTTTGTCACAGCGCCAGGTTTCAACGAGTGTGTTTGGGAGCGATTCCAGATTATCAGCAATGGCAGCACGTTCAGGTTCTCAGAGGCGTACTGTTAAAACATAAATGTGGATCCGTTCTGGTGATATTTTCATCTCGGCGTGAGCAAAAGTGATTAGAAACCCATTTGTAGACCTTCACGGTGTGCAGCTCTGTGTCATGTAAGCTTGTTTGGGGATAGCCACTTGCCTTGAAAGCCTGTTGAAAATCCACTGAAATCTCAGCTGGATATTCCTGAAGCAGAAGCTGGAGTGCACTAACGCTGCTCCATAATCATCTAAAGTCAGTAGAAAGTGCAGCCCTTGGGCCTCAGAGACGGCTTCAGTCCACCTCTCTGTACCGGAGAGTTTCTGTTCACCTACCTGGTTAGAAAAGGGTTAACAGATTTTCTCACATTTTACTAGTAAGACTTTGGTTCTGCAACATTAAAGATGACTTCAACATTAATAGTGTTTGGAGATTTATACATATTTTGCTCTCCGTAACTCAAAAGATTGCTTTTTAACCCTTTTGTGTTTCCAATACTAGCTTTTGCTTCATGTTACATAACCCAACTGAAGCAGCAGGGACATTCAGTAGAAGCTCAATTTCTTCATCTCTCAAACAAATATTTTTTATTAAAAGTTGAATCTTTTTCACCTTTTTAAGATGTTTGGGCAGCAAACAGTAATTCTGTTGCCTCACAGCAAGTTCACATCCAAGCTGTGGCTTTTTTGCAGCATGTTCTCCCAATGTTTGTTTTTCCCTCCCACACGCCAAAAACATACAAGTTTAGGTTAACTGGTGAAGCTAAATTACCCAAGGCATGTCTCTGAGAATGGCCGTACGTCTCATTTGTCTCCATGTGTCCCTGAGACTGAGGGGTGACCTGTCCACAGTGTCCGCCCAGCCTGTCGCCTGGTGACTGTCGCCCTTTAACCCCACTCAGGGTTGGTTCTCGGAAATGAAATGAGTCCTTTTCCATTCACTTTGTGAGATTTTTATTTTTATTTTATGTCAAGCTTGTCTAGATTAAAGCTTCTGACCTTTATTGTGGCTGATTGTTGTCAAGTCTCTGCAGGACGGTTAACTTAGTATTTTTTTATTTGTTCCTTTTTACACATTTTTTTCCACCCCCACCCCATCCAGTTTTGCCAGTTTTCCACGCTGTCTCTGACCGTCGCTGATGTTAATGAGGAATAGTGATCTGGATTGAAACAATGACCTTTTGTTGCCATACAAACGAACAGTTTCCTCAGCCGTGGCGTTCGGAAACATCCTCACGATCACAGCAGGCCAATGTCAGGCCTCCCCTAAGCTTTTGGCAGACTTAACCTTCAGGGTTTTGTTATGTTTGTGAAATTTTCTAAAGTTGCTGTTTTCTGCAGCAGAAAGAGCGTTTGTGGGACTAGCTTTGTTTTTTGGTTGGTTTTTTCCAGTGATCCTTAACAGATAGAGGCTGTTTCCAAAGGTTAACGAATCCCCTTTTCTCAGAAACAGTGATACGGAGAACTTCTAAGTCTACGATGCCCTAGAAATTTAGAAATGGTCATTCATTCACAGATGGTGTGTTCCTAAACAGTATAGATAATAAAAACCAAGTGCAAGGCTTGTTTTGCTTCTGCTGTTTGAGTTCAATTTAAAATTTTAACAACAAACCTGCTCAGGTGTCCAAATGCTCCCAAAAGAAAATAATTGGGAACTGCATTACATTCAGTGATGTTTTCAGTTCTCGGCCAACAAACTGTTAAACAACCAAACACAGCGCATAAATATTTCTTCAGTGTGTCAGCACAACGTTTGGGAAAGTGTTCTATAACCTGATGAAGGGAGTTCGTATAGCTGGGCTTGTTTTGATGCGTCAACCGAGGCCATGAAGGGAAAGATGACGAGTGGATGGAAAGTGCTCTGAGGTCACTTTCATTTTAAACAATCAATTAATTGATTCAGTGTAAATGACAAGTATTTAATTAAATTAAGTGTGTGTGTGTGTGTGTGTGTGTGTGTGTGTGTGTGTGTGTGTGTGTGTGTGTGTGTGTGTGTGTGAATTAGGAATTAGAACGAGCACTTTGAGAAAATTGGTCTTGATTCAGCATGAAACCGTTTTGGCCCAGAAATAAAGTAAAAGAAGGTTTTTATCTGATGCACTGTTCCTTTTCTTTATCTCTACCTTTGTGTTTTCTTTGTGCCACAGAGAGAGCACCTCCACCTGCTGCTGAATGTGTTTTTGCTGGCGGCGTGGGGGGTGGTTTTACTGGCATGCCGATTCTACTGGATGGGCAACAAACCCCCAAACTTCTCCAACTCTGACAACCCAGCAGCCGACTCACCTTCGCTCCTCATCAGGACTCTCACCTTCTTCTACCTACCTGCCTTCAACTTCTGGCTCCTCCTCTGCCCTGACACTCTCAGCTTTGATTGGTCCATGGACGCTTTGCCTCTGATCAGAAGTCTGATCGCTGACTGGAGAAACGTCCACACGCTGCTCTTCTATCTCGGGTTGCTGCTGGTTGCTTGGTTTGGCCTGCGGACTCGCTCCACGGCCAAAAGTAAAGACACCAATGTAAAAGCGTCCCATTACATTAATGGGAGGAATGGGAACAGCAACGGGCACAGTTATCATTACAACAACCACGAACACACGAGCGACTCTCATGCTGATGCTAATAATACGCTAAATGGTACCAAAACCCAGGACGAATGCAGGACTTCGCTGCCTACCACAGAGAACGTTGTGGTGTTCTCTCTGGGCCTTTTGGTCATCCCTTTTCTACCCGCCACAAACTTGTTTTTCTATGTGGGATTCGTGATAGCAGAGAGAGTCCTGTACATCCCCAGCATGGGCTTTTGCTTGCTGGTTGCTGCGGGGATGAGGTCTCTGTACGTCCGACTGCGACACAGGTCCTCCAGGACGGTTCTGCTGTACTGCAGCGCTGCTCTGGTTCTTCTTTTTGGGGCCAAAACGGTTTTGAGGAACCAGGACTGGAAGAACGAGGAGATGCTCTACAAGTCTGGGATTTATGTCAATCCTGCTAAAGGTAAGATCGGTTTCTGTCACTTCTTACAACTCCTCAAACAACAGCATGAATTCAGTTTTATAGATGTTTGTTTGCACCGATCATACGTTATTCTGTTGCTAGAATACCTTGAGCACATTTCCATGTTTTATCTCCCTCAGTCCTCTGTGTTACTGAATAATTTAAAGTGAATCGGCTTCAGAATGTCTTCGTCGCTCAGCATCACCACAGAGAAGGAAAACATCAAGTTGCACTTAGTGCACAAGAAGCCAAGTCAGGCTAGAAAACAAAGCTGATTCCTGAAAACACTTTTAATGTAGAAGCTTTTTTTGTCGCTTGTATTCCCAGCATGCAGTCTGTTTAAGGACAACGGTCCCTGTCTCTCACCCAAAAGCAACCGTCTCCTAGTTCTGACCGCCACCTCCAAACAAAGATAAAATATTCTAACATCTTTTGAATGAATCCAAACCAGATATTTATGTTGAAAGTGACGTCTGCGAGGAGCGCGGGAGGTCATAAAGCAACAGAGGGACACCCTGCGTTTGCTCATTTCCCTTTCAGATTCTGTAGCGGAGCTGAGGCATGACAGCTGTTTGTTTTGGCAGGGCAGCACCGCAGTAGTGATGTCCTCGCTTACATTCAATAAAGCTAATGTGAGTTTTGAACATCAGATGCACTCAGACTGTTGGATTTGGGACATTTAGGCCTATTTATTACATATAAAAGAAGAATCTGCCAAGCAATCAGGAGTTGTTAGATAGAAAAGGCGTTCATGAATGTTTCTCAAACGGCAGAATTAAGGTCTGCTTTTGCTCCTGTTTACATGATTTTGGTCTTGTTTTCTATATTCTGCACAAATATATTCAGCAGTCAGTTAAAGCTCTGCACTTTTAAACAGAAACTCATTCAATGTCCCTGTGGTGGTCTTCCATTCAAGATCATTCTAGAAACACTGTGTTTCCTGTGTTGAACTCCCCAGTGTGACATTGTTCTGCCTCAGAAAACCGACCGCTGCAGAACTGCGTTACTTTTTCTAAAGTAAAAAGATGTAAAAGACAATTACCACTTCACATTGAAATGTTCTCTCCTGGTGTGTTTTTAGGGGGGAATCTGAAAGAAACCGGTTGTTATGAAAGTTTTTTGTGCCGTTATTATTGATTAACTGTTTCCTTTGTCTCCTGTCAGCTTGGGGCAACCTTGGAAATGTTTTGAAGAGCCAAGGGGAGATGGAGGAGGCTGAGCAGGCTTACAGAAATGCTCTGTATTACCGCAGCAACATGGCCGACATGCTGTATAATCTGTAAATTGAAATTATTTTCATCTCCATCTACAGATTTTTAAGTTTAACCCTAAAAGAGGCTTTAAAATTAAACTCTTTCCTTTTGAGCGGTTCCAACTTCTCCCTCCCTCCCTCCCCAGCGGTTTGCTGCTACAGGAGAGCAACAAGTTCTCAGAGGCGCTCCACTACTATAAACTGGCCATTGGGAGTCGGCCAACTCTGGCTTGTAAGTACAGATCTTCTTTTTTTATTATTTCTATTGACAGTGTCCAGCTCTTGTGGTTGTGCTGTGCTGTGTCCTGGCAACAGTGAACAAAAGCTGCGGTTATGCAAAGAGAAAGAAAAGGATGAATTAAACATCCAAGCACAGCTGTCTGAGTGGCTTTCAAAGCCTGGTTATGTCAACAGATCAGGCAGATGTCAATAATCCATCCCATTTCTTTGTCTTTGTCCTCTGCATTTATTTTCATTCTCTTGGAGTCGTCTTCTGCTCCACAAGCCTCTTACACTCCCACCTGACCATAAAGCAAATGAGCAGCACCCCCACCACTCAGGGCGTCAGTCAATGACATTAGCAGATAATCTTAAACGTCTTCTGTAAACCCCGTTTCAAAAAGCTGCGTGCTAATCGGACTTATAATAATAATAATAATGCATTGAACTTAAATAGTGCTTTTCTAGACACCCAAAGATGCTTTTTCACACACTGCTAGTGATGGTGAGCTACTTGTAGCCACAGCCGCCCTGGGGAGGTCTGACAGAGGCGAGGCTGCCATTTGGCGTCGTTGGCCCCTCTGACCACCACTAACACAGGCAAGTTGGGTGAAGTGTCTTGCCCAAGGACACAACAGCAGGATACCCCTGGCGGGAGCTGGAATCGAACCCATGACCCTCCAATCATGAGGCAACCCGCTCTACCACCTGAGCTGCTGCGTATAACCAGTAGAAGGAATAATCGGTGACCAAAACTAAGTTCAACAAAGGAGTCAATAAACAGTTTGGGCAAAAAGTCAACTGATAAGAGGGGTTTTCGTTCAAGGTGTATTTTGAATATTCACAAGGTCAAACGGTTTACATCAAATAAGCAGTGATATATGTACAAAACATTATAACCAATAGAGCGTCCATCAGTTCCTTGAAGAGTTTCAGACTTCATCTGCATGAACGAGGTCTCGTTTCCTTGCGACATCAGTCCAGGGTTCCACAGTTCAGTTGGTTCATGGGTGGCTCGCCATCCAAGGAAAATTCAAGACGGTGAATGGGATGAACTGAATATGAAGGGAAAAGGAAAAGAAATCCACACAAAAACCTGACCGATGAGTAGAAACACATACACAAACTTTGGCCTCGGTTAGGCAAAAAGGGAGGATCAACACTCCTGTAACTCTGGCAACGTGCTACCCTTTTAAAATGGTACGGTTCAGTTTCTTCGTCTCACAACAGTGAATCAACTGCACCCTCAGGTAAGCTGAATTGAAGGTTTTAGCAAGCACTGAAGACTGGCAGAGAAAACCAAACCCTGAAGCAACCGTGACTGAGTGATTGAGCACTCCACCTGGAGCAACAGCAGCTAGCTCGTTAGCAGGTCAGGATTCCTCTAACTGGGGAGCTCCCTCCAGGTGCGTCAGTCACATGGGTTACACATCTCCGTTTTCTTCTTCACAGATTAATTATGCATCTGATCAAGCTCACAGTCAGACAGGGGAATTTCCAGTCAGCGTGCAGTTATCCAATCCGTAGATAATTAATTACTCTAGTTGACATTTTGCAGCCAGAATGATAATGTGAGAGTTAAATTTTTTAAAGGTTGCACCATTATTCACGGCCTAATTGTGAGCTAACTGGTGCAAATTGTTGCTCATGTATTCAATTCACATCTTGTCCTGTGATAAAACACCACTGATTTGTTTTGAGCTACAGAAAACCGGTAAACACGCCGACTAGACTACCCGTAAATGTCTTTTGTCTTCCTTTGTTGTTTTCAGCTTCTTGTTTATAACAGATCTTTACAAAGTAAGAAAGCGTATTGAGTTGTTTATGCAACAGAAAGGTTAGAAACTAAGAGACATGTTGGAACAAACACAAGGAAACGGGCGTTGTTTCTCAAGTGCTCCTCTTTGGCTTCATTATGGGATCTGGAAAACCCGTCCACATTGATCTGTTTTATCCACCTAATTCATTCCAACAGCCAGACTTGATGGGGAGATGCTTAGAGAGGAAGTTCCTCAGAGACCAGCTTCTCTCCAACCATGTATTGATCACAAAATCTTGCCTTTGACTACGAAAGGAGAAATGTGAGGGCTTCTAGAGGCTCCCAGCTGAAGGATTCAGATGTTACACAAACAGGAAACAAAGAAATCTAACTGATCCTTCCACAACTGATGACTGGACTTAAGAGAGTCTATGTAAATGTGTCATTTTAAACCAATTTTATAGAGAAAATTCAATTCAATTTTGTTTATTTACATAGCGCCGAATCAGTCGTCTCAGGGCCTTTCACAAAGTAAACACTCCAACTGAGTTCATTTCATTTAGCCACATAGTTCAAAGTTTCCTAGATAAGGAAATCCAGCAGATTGCATCATCACTGCCTTGTTGTGTCAGAGACTTGGCAGTATTAGGAAAGCATGTAGCGATAGTTGAGAGGAAATCTCCCCTGTAACAGGAAGAAACCTCCAACAGAGCGTGCTTAAGAGCAGCCATCTTCCGCAACTCACTGAGTTTGACATGAGCACGCACACACACACACACACACGCACACACACACACACACGCACGCACGCACGCACACACACACACACACACACGCACACACACACATGCACACACACACACACACACACACGCACACACACACATGCACACACACACACACACACACACACACACACACACACACACCACTTAGTGTTTCTATGGCTGCATACATTTGGATTTCCTAAAGATTCTGTTACTTTACAAAATAAACTTTACTCTCTTTATCTGAGTGAGTTTGTACACGCATGTAAAGTAGGAAAGCCCTGACATCACAGTCGAAGTGACCTGAACGCTGGCGTTCTGATTCCCTCCCCAGCGGCTTACTTGAATACAGGCATCATCCTCATGAATCAGGCTCGTTTGGACGAGGCCAAACGCACCTTCCTGACATGTGCCGACATCCCAGATGAGAACCTAAAGGATCCTCACGCCCACAAGAGTTCGGTCACCAGCTGCCTGTATAACATGGGCAAACTGCTCCATGAGCAGGGGCATCAAGAGGTAACACAAACTATGAGTTATTTAAGAAATGTAATGATAATGTGAGAGTTAAGAGCTACTCCTGCAGTGCAGAACATTTTGAAGGAATTTGTTGCACATGCAGAAAATAATCCTTTTCAAAAAATGTTTTGTTTTCATTTTCTGTCCACTTTTATTTTTTGCACGCAGCTAGTTTAAATTATGCATATCCAAATATGTCTGTAATTAACTCTCGCACTGCTGCTGTGTGACTTAACAGAGTCACCGGGTAATACCGGGTAATAAGAAAAGCTTGAAACTGCTGTGGATTGAGATCAAATGAAAGAAGTTGCTCTAAAAGCCTTCAGGGGACACGGAGGAAATGTCCACTTTAATAGTGACAGTTTCCAAAATTGCTTCTGTCATCGGGTGTTTGTGCAGACAATCCTCAGGCTGCTCCTAACAAATTCACTCGATTTCACGCCCCTGAAGACCTGCTACAGCAACAATTTAAATGTTTATTTTTCTAATGCGGCACATTTATTTGTGTGTCAGCAGGTGACCCTCCTGGTTCAGTCATGAATGAAACGTCATTACAGCTGATGTAATAAAGGGTTAGATGAATTGTTTGTAAGTTGGTGAGCTGAAGCAGCCTCGTTTCCTCTGACCTCAGCAAACCTTCAGGTCCCGCTACCGTTCAAACTCCAGGGTGCTCCAAAGTGAAATGCAGGACACACACGCTGTGCTAGAGTCAGTAAGTGACACTCTTCTGGGTGTCTTGAAGGCCTTGACACAGAAGATAGACCCTTTGTGCTCAGCTCTGTATGAACCAGCCAACCGAAGACCCCCAATTCCACGCTGTGCTTTCACACCGCCAGGGACTCGGCTGCACAGAAGCAATGAGCAGCCCCCCCCCCCCCCCCCCCCCCAAGCCTGGTCCTCTAATGCAAACAACCCCCCCCCCCCCTTCTCCTTCTCCTCCTGTTTTGTTTCATTCACAGGAGGCCCTCTCTGTGTTTAAAGAAGCAATACAGAAAATGCCAAGACAATTTGCACCGCAGAGCCTCTACAACATGATGGGTAAGGGCTGCTTTTAGTTTCTGCTTCATGAGGATAGAAGCTGCAGGGAGAATCGAACAGTCAAAAGAAAACAGGTTTAGATGCTTGAGAGGCATTAGAAAATGGACATCCATATATTTCCAGGTTTTTTTGGTCGTTCTGGTGTATAAATATATGAATGCATGCAGATATTCACAAATTTGCCTGTTCATTTTGGAAAAATTGACTTTCCAACTGAATCCTGAGGTTTCTTTTAGGGCCGGGTGATGTAGGACATACTTTTAAAGGGTTACTTTGCAACTTTTTCATTTTTTTAAACCATTTTCTTGTGCCAGTATGTGCTAAAATGACCTTTATTAACCTTTATTGACCCTGTGGCCAAAATATTGCACTTGCAACT